CCGCCCATTAAGCGGCTCTATCTCTGTCTCTCTCTCTGTATCCCTCGCTCTCTATTTCGCTCTCTTTCCCTCCCTATTTCCATCTCACTTTTTCCGCTTTTGTCTCTGTTTGCGTGGCTTTTCTTGTCTCAAGCACAAATTAAATTTCCAACGAATTTAATGGCACACAGACAGACAAGGAGGAAGAGGAAGAAGGTGGCGAGAAGGAGGTGGGAAAGGAAGAGGAAGAACAGAGACACAGATAGCAAAGGACGTTTTAAAGCTGCAGCTATCTCGCTTCAGCAACAGCGCAAAAGTTGAACGCCTAAAAGCAGGCAACGAAAATAAAAAGGACGTGCGAGGGGGCAAAATATATACATACTCTGGAAAATATGAGGCGAAAAATTAAAGGAAAATGGAAATGGATGGCTGGGGGGAAAAACCGGAGCCAAGAATAATAATCAGCATGCAAAATACGGCAGGCTTTCCTTCCAACCAGCAACTTTTCCCCCCACCTTTTAGCCCCTCTCTTTGGGGAATTCATAACAAGGCTGTCATCGCCCCCTTTTCTACTACGCCCCTGCATTTTCTCTCGCCCAAAAAATCGATAGCGAAAAAAAGTTTGTTATTTTTTTGCTGGCTTGCACTGCACACTGCGCTGCAGTTGAAAAGGCGGGGAGATCGGGAAATTGGGCGGGAAAGTTTGGAAAATGGACGGGAGGGGGCGATAGCAGACAGCTATTTGGTGTATGTACACTTTAAGAAAATACCGGAAACCTTATTGTTTTAAATTAAAAAGTAAGAATTAGGTTTCAATTGAAATAAGTAGGATATGTTATAATTTAAAGTGTTACTCAAGTTAAACATTAGATAAAATACAAAAATGATAAAAAAAAGGATATAAATAAAAAATTGTAAAAGAATTTTACTATTTTAATGAAATGTATTTCAATAGAAGTATGGGGATATATTCCGAAATACCTGCTTTTCCTCAGTGTACGTACTTTTTTTCCAGATTCAGCTTCTTCTTGTTTTGTTCTCCTTTTATTTTTTGCATAGTTTTTTGTTCGTTTCCCTCGGTTGTTTTGTGAATTCATCTTCTTTTTTCTTGGCGGTTTTTCCCTTGTTTTATACTCCCTCTCTTCTTCTGTTTTTCTGTTAGTTTTACTCTAATATTTTCGAGGTTTTCTTTTATTTTGCCGTGTATATAGGCACACATACACATGTTCATATATACATGCATGCATTACATATGTACAGACACAGACACAAGGCGTGGCTGAAAGAAGAAGCAGATGATAAAGGGGGGATAAAGTGGGTGGCAACATGATTGTGTGGATGTGGATGCTGCTGCATGTGTGTGTACATAAAACATATGGAGAGGATGTGTTGTACTCATACATATATATGACTTACTGCGCACATAACGGTACATGTGTGCTTTCTCTCTCTTTCGCCCCCCATGCATCCCCATCCCTAACCTTTGATGCTCCCCATCTCTTTCTGGCTGCATGTTGTTTTCAAACTTTTTCAAACGAAAACAAAGCTGTGCGGTTTTTAATTATTTTCCTTTTTGTTTGGTTGGACTTTAAAGGGGAAAATGAAGAGGAAAACGAGGGAAATGTTAAAGGAATAAGCGGGGAAAATGTGAAATGGAAATATAAATAGAACAAGAAGAAAATCTAGAAGAGAGCTTGAGCTTATTAGCCGAAGCTTTTTTTTTTGACATGAATTTTAAATGTTTTCATTTAAATTTAACATCTTTTGTGGGTTGGCGACCAACAAAGGGGAAAATCGTATAATCAAAGATACATTTTCAATCCCTTACTTACTTTGTGATTTTTATTATTATTTTTAGCAAAATTAAGCGTTATTTTATTTATGACATAATTATTTAGAGGAGTAAATAGAATTAATTCTATTTAAATTGTATACACGTTTTTCTCTATATAACAATTGCTTATTTCTCGTTTTCCCTTTTTCTTTTCAGGTAAAACATCTCAACGAACATGTAAACCAGTGAAAAAAAGCAAAAAGAAATCAGGAAAACACTTTGCATTTTTAGCGAAGGAAGAAAGGAACAAAAAATGGGAAATAAAGTAAAGTAAAGTAAATTAGAGTGAAATGTTGGAAATATATAGGTACAATTTTTAGATTACCATATCAAAAAAAAAAAAATTACATGTATTAAATAATAAAAATAAATAAAAATACAGGGATATATTTCGGTTTCAGAAGGCAAGGTCAACAAAGGGAATTTACAAATGATTTATTTGAGGAAAGTATACACAGGTAGAAGAACGGGAAAAGCTTGAAGGAAACTTGAAAGGTCAAAGTGTACGTACCATATGTACTTACAAACGTGTATATAAAGGCTTTAATAAGGTAAATAATAAAAAGGAAAAAAAGGAAGGCTGAGCTTGTTTATGGGTAAATAAAGTCTAATTTTAAGAAGTTAAAGAGACAAAAGTACGAAAATATAAAGGAAATAATTTTTTTTAATTATCATGTTAAATAACAAAATTAATAAAAGCAAAGCAAATTTTTAATGATTTTCTGCTTTGGCGATTTCGCATGGCTCGTCATTCGTCGTCATTCATGATTGATGATTTCGCTACATCATTTTGTTTGAACTTTTCTTGTTTCACATTTTAAAAGCGCGCTGAAACTGGACAAAAGCCTTGAATTTGATGTTTTCTAAATAAAAGAATGGTTCACTGTGAAGTTTGGCAACGTTGTGCGCCGGCCGCAGGCCATCTCTTTCGCACTCACATTGAATCGTCTTTAATATTTAATGAATTAATAAACGGGCCCGAGTTTGTTTGTATGTTTGTGCGTTTGACGTTGATGCATGAGGTCGCGACGCTGCGTCGACGTCGGCAGAGCCACCGGGCAGAGACGTCGGGTCAAACGCGTCGCACGTTAATCACAAAAATCACAAATCCCCTCAAATGCGTTTATTATTGTTAATAATACTAGGTACTAATCATTTTATTCGAAACTTTGCACAAGGAAAAATATTTATTTTATGTATTTTAGTAAATTTATTTCTTCACTGGATTTTCTAACTATAGTTTTTAGTAAATATAAAAAGTAAATAAAATATGAAATTTATATTAAAGATTAGGTTTTTAATGGCTTAGGCTTTAAATAGATTTAGGAACTTTTCATGAAAATGCTTAGTCATACAATAATTAATTCAAGCTGTCTGGAAAAACAATAAAGTAATGGCATTCTAAAAGTTTGCTAATAAATATTAATAACAAATGCAAAACTATGTTGCCTATAAAAATACAATTGTTAGTGCATTTTAAGCAATGCTTATAAATATTAATGGCGGGGTTGTTATTGTTGTCTTTGGTTGGAAAATGTTTCCCAACGTAAAACAACCAACGTTAAACATCATTTAACAAAAGCCTAACTATTTTGTATTTTTCTCTATTAAATTGCAGTATAATTTAATAACTAATTTAAAGAAATATGTATACTTTTACATAGTTTTTTCATAAATGTAGCATAAATTATATTGTCTAGTTTTTCTTCTTAAATCTATTTTAATATTTTCGACAAAAGCCAAATTAGCCAATACTTTTAAGGTATAGCTAATTTTTGAGCCTCCACTGTGTGGAATTAAAGAAGGCAACAACAAAAATGTTGGGCCGCTGCCTCTGCCCAAGCGGTTGCAGTTCGCTGCGCACATGACTGACCGCCAACATGTTGGGTGGCTCCAATCGAGCATGTTTGACTTCGAACACGCTCGATGCGGCAGCACATGGCTCATCACGAAAACGAAAGAGATGGCAGCACCAGGTTCGCACCGACCATCTCAATCTCTATCTCTTTCCCGCTCGCACAGGTTCGAAACCGGCCGGGGTTCGTGTCCCCAATAACAAAAATAATAATAATAAAGAATAAAGCATAGAACCCACTAAATCAACCGTTAGATCGTTTATACCCCACTTATATTTATATATATAGTATACAAAATACAGTATATCTATAAAGTATAGCACAGTACAGGAGCGTGGAGCCGTATTATGCAGATATGCTAAATTATATGATGATGCGATCATCCGATTATCTTAGATTGCCGGGAAAAACGCGGTCAAGCCGCAGTTGTTGTTGGTTCCATTTATTTCAGTATTTCTCGTTTCTATCTGTCTGTAAATGGGATTGCAGATCACACAGTCCAGCTAGTCCAAATCTCAGAACTAGCATTACACGATTAGCCAGAAGATTTAGAATTAGAATCTGAATAGAACCAGATTTGGTTAGAGATCGCTTTATTATCATTGTAACGGGTCAAGGTGTTTTGAATTTCCATATTTACAATCAAAGAACTTAACTTCTTTTGTCAGTTTCGTTTATATCTTTATAATAGATCACAAAAATGATATAATAAGAAATCTTCTAGATCGTAAAATGTGTGCACTTTAATATACTGATCAAGAAAAACCTTAGGAAATCCAAAGTGGGTTTTAATTATTTAAAATATCAAATTTGAACATTTTAGTTAATTCAGATATTTTGAAAATAAATATATTATATAATATAATATATATAATAATTATAACTTTCAGAAAACCTACTTTGCTTTACATTTAAATGATCTTAAAATACAGTTGATTACAGTTAATTACCAAAAAAATCCAATAAATACTCAGTTTTAAAGTATAGATTATTTTCTTTATAAAATTCAAAGGATTCCTTTCTTTGCTTCCACATATTTGCCCATTTAATCACGTTTCCTCGTCCGCATGGTAAATTTAAAATAAGCTTTAAACTCGGAATTCTAATAGGTTTTCAAGATTTTATCCTTACTTGAAATTTAACAAGCGGATTAGAAAACGGCCTTTCTTTGCTTCCGCAGCAAAGCATTATTCCATGTTAAAATTAAAGTAAGCTTTAAACTCAGAAATCCCAAATATTTTATCCGTACTTTAAATTTAACATGCGGATTAGCAGGATCACTGACCAAATGAGACCCAAATTTAATAATCTGCTGTGTTTTCTCTCCTTTCGCCCCCACTGGTCGTACAGGGGCCTCGAGCAGCTGCCGCAGTATGCCAAGCAGGTGGCGCAGCTGCAGCAGCATCAGTCGCATCACCAGCAGCAGCAGCAACAGCAACAGCAGCAGCAGCAGGAGCAGCAACAGCGCACCAGCCTGCATCCGCAGATCCACCACCACCACCAACAGCAGCAGCAGCAGCAGCAGCAACAGCAGCAGATGCAACAGCAGCAGCAATCCTCGAGAGCGGCGGCCAGTCCTTTGTCACCACCTCGTCCTGGAAATCCTGGCAGCGGCAACAGCAACAGCAGCGGCGGCGGCGGCAGCAACAGCAGCAGTGCAGCAGCGGCAGCAGCAGCAGCGGCAGCCGCAGCGGCGGCCGTCAACACGGGCTATGCGCCACCGCCCCCGCAGCATCGTTTCATCCAGAATCCGGGCTACAGCATTGCCCCGGCGCCCACCTACCGTGAGAATCCCTACTCGCGTCACACGCAAATTCAGCAGCAGCAGCAGCAACAGCAGCAGCAGCAACAGGCGGCAGCCTCGATGCCCGAATATCAGAGGGCGGCAGCTCGAGCGGCTGTGGCTGCTGTCTCGACGGGCAAAGGCCAAAGTTCCAACAGCAGCAGCAGCGGCGGAGGAGGCGGAGAAAGAGGAGGTGCCGGCGGATCAGCTCCTCCGGGCGGCGGCGTCGTTCAGGTGTCGCAATCCAGCGGAGTTTTGGTCATGGAAGCCATGCCCCATTATGCCAGCCAACCAAATAGTAATCCCTCCCAGCAGCAGCAGCAGCAGCAAGGCAGCAATCCCAGTGGCGCGGGAGCAACAAATGCCGCCTCCTCCGCTGCCGGCAGCATAATGGTCGGGAATCTGGGGCGCATCCTGATGCCCCATCCGCAGGCTCTCCAATACACCAGCGAGTACCTGACCAATGCCACAGCGGTGGCCGTTGCTGCGGCGGCGGTTAACCAGCGACAGCAATTGCAGCTGCAGCAGCAGCAGCAGCAACATCCGCCCGAGCCATTTGGCGGCCAGCAGCCGTACAAGAAGCAACGGCTCAGCGAGGCCAATGCCAGCAACATGAATCACCTGCCACCACACCCGCAGCAGCAGCAGCAACATCAGCAGCAGCAACAGCAGCAGCAGCAGCAACATCAGGCTCACCAGCAACACCAGCGATCCTCGCCAGCCCAACAGCAGCAGCAGCAGATGAACAGCAGTCGGCAGAGTCACAATGACATGTGCCGACAAGTGGTCACCACGCCAATGGGAATGCAACTCAAGGTGGAGACACTGCCCCAGCAGCAGCAGCAGCAACAGCAGCAACAGTTGCAGCAGCAGCAGCAACACCAACAGCAGCAGCAGCAGCAACATGCCTCGCAATCCCAGGGACGAAGCCAAGCGGCGGTGAGCAGCATGTCCTCCGGTGGAAGCCAACCCGTGGGCACCATCACCGTTTCCACGGCAGGATCCTCGTCGGGGAGTCACAGCGGCAATGTTGCCGGCGGAGCGGGGGCATCGGGAAGCAGCGGAGCGGCCAGCACAGAGGCCTATCATCCGCAGGTGAGTGTGAAGGCTGTGAATTTAGAGAGACCCCAGAAGAGCACTTCTTGAAATCTTAGTGGGATTATTAGTGGGATCTTAAATCCTATAATTTTAACAGATTTTTAAAATATTCTTCAAAAAAGTATCTAAAAAAAAAGAAAGCCGTATTATTTTATATTTGATATTATTTTGGATTTTATTTTTTTTATTTTAGATTTTTATGTCAATTTGTTTTGGGTGAACTTAGCTACTTCCCCTTTTTTTGTCCACACTTTTATATAGTAGTTTGGATATATATACATTTAAAACACTCTTTAAAAATTAAAAAAATAAATTTACAATTTACTTTACAAACTTTCTGCAAAATTCAAAGTTAAATTGAAGCTTAAAAAAGTTGTTGAAAAATAATTGGTTATTTAAAATTGTAATTCTAGTTCCTCTAGTAAGAATATAAATTTCCTAAATAATTTATAGCTCTTGGTATTTTATAATAATTGAATAACTAGATAAATAAAAATGATATTAAAGTCAAACCTAAAAATATATATTGTTCAATCAAAGATTTATTTATATAAAATATATATAAAAATAAAAAATATATAATATAGATTTAAAAGGGGATTTTTATACCCTAAAAAACTAGTTTAAGCATAAAAATAGGGATGCCACATTTCAGGGTTGCTACCTGTTTTTCTAGACCCCTTTTTTCTGAAAGAGGCTCTCAACCCTGCGCTTTATAACCTATTAAATGTAGTCTCACGTGACTTTCACACTTGATTCAAGCAGAGCTCTTCTCCATGTCTCAGCGTAAATCAAAGAGCCCACTAATTAACACTTTCCATAATCCCCAGGTGGAGGCCATTTCGCCCACTCTGCCGAGCGACAGTTCGATCGAGGAGCGCGGAAGGACGAGCGCCAAGGAGGACCTACTCATGCAGATCCAGAAGGTGGACAACGAGATCAAGTCCGCCGAAACGACGATGGAGACGCTGCGCAAGAAGGAGAAGTCTCTGATGGAGGAGGCTGCTCTGGCCAAGGAACAGAAGGTTGCCTCTCAAAAGGAACAACAGGATCAGCAGGAGGATCAGCAGCAGGAGGAGGTGGTGGAGCTGGCCTGGCGCAGTCAAATGCTGGCGGAGAAGATCTATGCGGCCAATCGGAAGACGGCCAGTGCGCAACATTCCATGCTGCAGAATGCAGCGGCCGATGAATCCTCTCCAGGATCTCTAGCCGGTCGTCCCTGGCTGCCTTTGTACAACCAACCACTCGATGTGGAAGCACTCACCCTGCTGATCCGCCAGCACCAGAATCAAGTGCGTGCTCCCCTGCTGCTGCACATCAGGAAACTGAAGGCGGAGCGATGGGTTCACAACCAGGGACTGGTGGAGAAATACCTCAAGGAGCAGGCCGACTGGCAGCGCCGATGCGAACGCATGGAGGCGAGCGCAAAGAGGAAGGCGCGCGAGGCCAAGAACCGCGAGTTCTTCGAGAAGGTCTTCACGGAGCTGAGGAAACAGCGCGAGGACAAGGAGCGCTTCAATCGCGTCGGTTCGCGCATCAAATCCGAGGCCGATCTCGAGGAGATCATGGACGGTCTGCAGGAGCAGGCGCTCGAGGACAAGAAGATGCGTTCGTATGCCGTGATACCGCCCCTGATGCACGATTCCCGCCAACGGCGATGCGCCTATCACAACGAAAACGGACGCATCGAGGATATGGTGGCGGTGCATCAGCAGCGCAAGGCTCTTAACATGTGGACAGCCGGCGAGAAGGAGACGTTCAAGGAGAAGTACTTGCAGCATCCGAAGAACTTTGGCGCCATTGCGGCCAGCCTGGATCGCAAGTCGCCGCAGGACTGCGTACGCTACTACTACCTCAGCAAGAAGACCGAGAACTACAAGCAGTTGCTGCGCAAATCCCGCCAGCGCACGCGCAGCTCCCGCAATCCGGCCAAAGCCCAGGCCGCCCAGCCGCAGTGCATCATTGATTCGATGACGACGGGCGTGATGACGCGACTGCAGCGCGAGCAGCAGCAAAAGTCGGGCAATCGATCTTCAGCGGTTGCGGAGCGGGAAAGAGCGGCCGAAAGGGAAAGGGTGGCCGAGAAGGCGGCTGCCGATGCAGCAAAGGCGGCGGAAAGTGCCGCCGAAAAGGCAAGTGCGGCTAGCAAGGCCGTTGAGGCGACGGCCGCCGGTGAAAAGGTGGCCAAGGCGGCAGCAGCAGCAGCGGCGGCAGCGGCAGCAACAACGGATAAAACGGAAGCCTCGGGCAAAAGCGAAAAGAGTGCGGCAACTCCGGCAGAAACACCTGCAGTAGCAACACCACCACCACCACCAGAGATCTCAGCGAGCAAGGCAGCCGCCGGCGAAGAGGAGGCAGCGGCGGCCACCGCGGGAGCAGCCACTGTGGCCACCACGGGCATCGCGGCCAGCGGAGCCAGTGCAGCGAGTGCGGGCGAGGCGACAACGGCCACGGGAGCCACGGCAACGGCGGCGGCCAAGGGAGCAGGGAAGCCGGAAACAGCAAACGAACCGGCGGGCAGTGCGGCCAAGGGAGCGGATTCCCGGCTAGAAGTCAACAATGAACCGCTGGCCAAGGCAGCAGCTACCAATAACGGTGGGTTAATGAATTTCTCTATTTAAAATATATTAAATAATAATATTTAAATTGCACATTCCAGCCAGCAACAGCAGCTCCAGTGCGGCGACTACCGCTGCACCGGGCGTAACCTTGAATGGCTTCAAGCCGGGCTACCAAACGGTGGTCATGAAGCCAACAGTCGAGGATTCTGCGAGTGGTGGAGGTGCATCTGCAGTGACGAATGCAGCGGGAGTGGGAACTCCAACGACGACGACGGGCGGCGGTGATAAGATCAACGCCAAGACAATGCCGCCAGCCAGAGCTACTCCGAATTCCACATCCACAGCCTCGACGGAAAGTGGATCTGCTGGTGGTGGGGTGCCCACCTTTGCCCACACCGCCACCACGGCGGGCAACTATCTGGGCCAGAAGCTGAAGGCCGCCCAGGTCGAGGGACTGGGAGCTGGCAATGAACTGCACTCGGATGTTAGGTGAGTAAATTAAACGAAAGATGGGAAAATATTCACCTTTTTTATTTGGTTTTAAGCTGTTTTTTTTTGTAATGCAATATGTACATTTAAACGTTTTAAAACCGCTCAAATTATTAATGAACGGATATCGATATTTTCGATATTTATCGGAAACATTGTTGTAGCTTCTGTCATTTTTTATAAACATACTTATTTATAATAATGATTTTAAGCCGTTTTTCTGGAATGCAATATATACAGCAAAACGGTTTAAAACTGCTCAGATTACTCGTTAATGAACGGATATCGATATATTCGATATTTTTTAAACATCGATCTAGTTTCTCATATTTTTTTATAAACATATTTATAATAATTGTTTTAGATATAATTTTTCCTCAAAAACAGCGATATTATCGATAAAATATTGTGATAATATCGATATTTAAGTTCAAGTTATATTTCTTGTGCTTTTAGTATTGTTAGATTTATATTTTTGATTAAACTACAACTAACTATTGCCATCTCACTCGATTTTGCAGTGAATCCAAGAGGAAGCGCTTCGAATTGAATTCTGGCGAGGCGAGCGGAGGAAACAACGCATCATCTGCGAATAGCAACAGCAACATTAGCAACAGCCACAGTATAAAGGCCAATGCCAAGGATCCAACGATGGCCAAGACATCGTTGCCATCCGCGTCATCGGCATCGGTTGTTACATCCACGCCATCGGCATCCTCATCCTCATCCGGCTCCATGCTGCTAATCAGTGCCGCCTCCATCATGTCTACCGCATCGGGAGCCACGTCCTCGAGCACGGCGACCACCACGGCCACCGCTCCGGCGATCTCTATGCCTTTGTTGGCCGATGGCAGTGGCAATTTGATGGTCAACGCCTCCGAGGTCCTCGCCCTCGATGGCAAAGGTAAGTGCTGGAATTTTTACTATTTATTACTGCTTTTATTGGAAAGAAATGGGAATTTATTAGCCAAATAATATATATTTAATCTTTCAACTTTACACTGGAATAGGTTTCTAGATTTAATAGGATATTAAAGCAGTAGTTAGGCCTTTTAAAGGGTATAACCCATATTGAAACGTCAGATTTACTATCTAATATTTTCTGTATAAATCAAGAATTTTTATGTTGATCTGGATGATCGAAATATTCTATTTTTGTATTTGATATTCCTTATAAATCTTCAATTGAATCTATTATACATTTAAAATGGTGAATACCTTATTGGAAGAAAGGAAATCCGTTATCCTAGATCCCCAATTGAATATTATCTATTCTTCATAGGCAGAAAGAAAATTACAAATATTTATAACATTTGAATTTTGATAAAAAACTTGATAAAAAGCTGTTCTAAAGCGGTTAGCTTTCAAGCACCAATGTCCTTAAGCTTTTTGACTCTCGAGCTTTTATCTCGTGCTTTTAATCTTTACTAAAAAAGGACCTTTGAGCTTTTCAACTTGCAAAGTTTCTCGCCTTCGACTGCTTTAAAGCTCTCTGTTAACCAGTACTTTCATTTGATTTTTTCCTGCTTATTAAGATTTAACATTGATATGTTAATGTCCTTTTTCGGTCCCTTCTCCCTCAAAAAGGCTTATGAAAAATGCATTTCCCGCCATTGACAACTGCAATGTGGTGGGTGCAGTCTCTTTTGGACCGTTTAATCACACTATCCACCGCCCAACCACCCATAAACCCACCACCCACCTCCACAATCCAATCAAAACTGGCTCCATATCTCCGTTTCTTTGGCTTCTGTTTGCCCTGCTGCTTCTCCGCCAGCGATTTCGATTAATATTTCATCAAAAAAAAAAAAATGGAAAAAGAATACAAAAAATATATGGCCTTAAGTCTCAGGGCCGCCAAAAAGAGTTGACAGAAATGAGAGGGGGATGGGGTGGGGGGTGGCTTTCTTACCCCCCAGAGGAGGTGGAAGAAAAAGAGTAGCTCAATTGGTGGTTCGCTGTTCTGTTCCCGGCTTCTCAAATTTTCCTGCGGCTCAGCTCAACGTTTTTCGGCCGCTTGCGGTTTTGTTTGCACCACCGCCCATCCGGCAGCCGCCACCCACCCACTTAAATCCACCCTCCCACCCACTCGCCACCCACCTCCCCTTCATGCTCATCATCATCTTCGCTTCGCTTCGCTCGGCCTTGTTGGCTGTCATCTCCCTGGCGAGTTAATTAAACTCAATTAAATTAAAGTCTTTTTTGTAAACGTCTTTTTTATTATGCAAGTGATTTAATTTAATTATTAAATTGCGGCAAGGATTGTTTACCTTAGTACCACCCCCCACAACGCCCTTCCAGACATCGCATTTCAATCTACGCTTAACGGAGAAGGTGGAAAAAGTAGATCAGGACAGTTGAGGATGTCGATAAGCTGGAATGGAATTCGATTTAGTATTTGCGATAAAATTGTAATATCGATTATTTCGATAAATTTCGATTAATTTTGATAAAGTTAATCTTAGCTTATTTAATAATGATATTGTCAAAAGATGTAAAGAAATTGGTGATGAATGCACATTTTCTGCCCAAAATTCGTTGAATAAGTACAATCGTTATTTTTGCTCGTTTAAGCAATCGATGATAAAATGTCTAAGAAATTTGGTTTATCAATGGCTTAATACTTGTCCATTTAGTCTCGATTTACTTACCTATTTCAGTTATCGATAAACAAAAATACAAATTGACAGATTGTTTATCGATACTCCTTTTTTCAGATTGTTTCACTTGATTTTCTTGAACTTAACCCGCTGTATTCACAAAAATAGTCTCTTCTTGATTGTGATTTTTAAAATACTTTTTATTTATTTATTTATTTGCATTTCTAGGGCGACAAAAAAAAAAAACATTTAGCGTGTGTGTTGTTGTTGTGATGATTGCTGTATATAAATTCGTAGATTTCGTTGCTTTGATTTTGATATTATATCTTAGGATTGTGCCTGCTGATCATCGGCAGTTGTAGCTGTTGTTGCTTCCGTTGCTGTTGCCTCTCGTTTTGTGTTGTTGCTGGAACTAATGTTGCTGTTGTTGCTGCTGCTGCTGTTGCTCGTGGCAGTCGCTTCGATTTCATCCGCATGGCACATTTTGCGATGCTTGTGGACAAAATAATAGCTGGGAAACTTGCTGCCGCACGTTTTGCAGGGATAATATTGGACATTCATGTCTAGAGGTCGCACTTCTCTCCGCAACAAGGCCGCTGTTGCAGCTCCAGTTGTTCGCTGTTGCTCCGTTGCATTTGCTGCACCCTGTTGCTGTTGCTGCTGCTGTTGCAGATTGCCGCTGTCTAATTCCGGTTCCGCCAGCAATTTCTTATCCGTGGTCGTCAAACTCAATGGATTCAAGTGTCGCTTGGCATGTTTCTGATAGCAATATTGTGATTTAAAGGTGTGCTTGCAATAGACGCACACATAGAGTTCCTGCTGATTAACTGCTGATGAAGTAGATGAAGCAGTAGCCTGTGGTAATTTCTTATGGCCACCTGAAGAGGATGAGGAGGATGATGATGCAGTGGCTCCTCTGGCGGCTGCCTGTTTACCAGCTGCACCACCATCGCCACTATTCTCGCTCTCCTCCTGCTGCTGATGGCTCAACTGTCGCTGCTGACTGCTGATGGCCCTGGCCATTTGCTGGTGAAACGAATAGCTGACGCTTTGTTGGCTGCGCAGTTGCTCCTGGGATGAGGATCCTCCTCCTCCCACTGATGATCCTCCAGCGACACCAGAGGAACCCGATTCCTGGCTCTCTGGCTTGTGGCCATAGGCTGTGTTTAGTATTCGGCGAAATCTCACCGGTCCATCGCAACTGGCCACATCGATGATGAATTTCGAGGGAGTCATGGGTGTGGTGGCCGCCAATTCGAGCTGGGCAGCTGGCACCGGAGCCTTGGCCACCTGTAAACCCGTGGATTTTCTCGACCTCGACTTTCTACCCTTTGATGATTCCCTCTTGGATTGAAGATTTTTCCCCTGAGTTTGCTTGGGGGCAATGATTGTTGGAGTAACTGGCACCGGAGTCGGTGGCTTCACATCCAAACGCTCGATGTTCAAACTGCCTGCACTGCTTCCGGCCAGGGAACTCACCACCGATACATTGCAGTCCATGTCCACATCCGGCTCGGGATCAGCCTCGTTATCCGTCACCGTATTGCTGTCTATAAAGACCTCTATATCTTCATCCTCTTCGTCGATATCCTGAATGGGAGCATCGTTATCCATGAAAGAGGGAGCTACTGTAGGTGGAGGAGCAGGATGAGGAGCAGAAGGAGGTGGAGGTGGAGGCGGGGGAGGATGAGCACTTGGCAGGGGCAGAAAACCGAAATTAGGCATTGTGGCCTTGCTGGGAATCGGCCGGATGACCTTGGCTGCCTGAATGCCGGGAATTGCTGGACAAAGCTGCGGTGCCTGCGGATTGCCGTTTAAATAGCCCTCTGTTTGAGCTCGCGCCAAGAAAGAACTAGAAAAAAAAATTTTTTTATACTTAAATCATCTTGGGAATTCCTTATTACTAAAAAAAGTAACCAATGAATTGTTGAGAACTCCGGTGAATAATCTGTCCAGACCTTAAAATCTAAAAAAATTAAAAAAAAAACTTTTTTTTTTTGTAATTGTTTTGGAAATTCCTTGTTATTAAGAAAAATAATCATTCAATTGTTGAGAACTCCTGTGAATAATCTCTTCAGACCTTAAACTCTAAAAAAAATTAAATAACTAGAAAATTTTTTTTTTTTCAAATATCATCTTGGAATTTTCTTGTTATTAAGAAAAGTAATCATTGAATTGTTGTGAACTCCAGAGAACCATCTCTTTATACCTAAAACTCTAAGAAAATGAAAGATTCCCCGCCGAACCCGAACCCACCGGCAGATTTCCAGGGCCCTTGGCATGTGAAGGACATGGGTGGCCAGCAGAACGGCAAAGATATTGTCGACGGTCAGGTCCAGATATCCCGTGTACATGTAAGTGAGCAGCGGGGCAAACTGATCGGCGGTGACATTACTGATATACAGTAGTAACTCGCCCGTTGACGTGGTGGTGGCTGAGTTGCTTGGATTATTGGAGGCTGCTGTCCCAGCTGATGATGATGCCTCATCCAAGCGGATGGCGGATCTCAGGTAACCACTGTGCATGCCCAGCACCAAGCTGTGGGCCACGAAGCGCACACTGCTGGGCGCCGGTCCGACCTCGAGGATGACATCAGGTGGCGAACTCATCACCAGAGCGGCTCCTCCCATTCCGGATGAGGATGCGGATGCGGATGAGGATGCGGAACGGGTGGCCGCCGTGCTGCTGCTGCTGCCCGTCAGCCAATTGGTGAACATATTGCACACGTGCACAAAACAAAACAACAAAAAAAAAAAAAACAGAATTATTTCGCTGCGAGAGTTGCAAGGACAAAGGACGAAAACGAATGGAGCAGCGTCGCGTGTCCAAAGGGAAATCGGCTGGTGAACTGATGGCCGACAGCCGCGCGTCTCTGGTATTTATACTACCCGGCAGCCAAAAGCAACATGCGACGCTCGTCCTTCGTCCTTCGTCCTGCGGCCGAATCGTATTCGCATTCGTATGCCACTCGTTAACTGTGCCGAAACACTGGAAACTGTGTTTGAAAGACCTCAGCTCTCGAAATCGAAATCAGTTGTGCACCACTTTCAACTGGTAAATTCTATATAGAAGCTTATTACCATTCTAGAGTTAAAAGGGGTTATTTAAAAATTTCTATAGCAATTAATACAAAAATCATATTGTATAATAAAGGTACAACAATGTGATAATTTATATTTTTTATAAACAGTATAAATTCCTTTGGAAAAGTTGTATTTGAAATATTTTTAAAATGAAAATGAAATAAGAATTTTTGCAATAAATTTAGGTTTGAAATTCGGATAGTAAGGATTATAATTTTAAATTGTATTATCGTATTATTATTCAGATTTTCAATTGCAGTAATAGATTGAAATCCTGATTATTGTGGATAGGAATTATTTGAAGAAGTTAAATCTATAGTTAGTAATTATAAATTATTATTGTGGAACAATAGTATAATACAGTTATGATTCAGATTTTAAAATCAGTAATAGTTTCTCTTAGGAAAGATGTATATGAATTATTTTTAAAATTGAAGTCAAACATTATTTTCTACAATTCATTTGTATTTGAATTTGGATTGTAATAGTCAGTAATTTTTATTTTTGTGACCAAACAATTTGCCAGCACTGACCGGAAGCTGAAAAGTTGTTGCTTAGTGGTCTGTTTAATTGGTTTTGTGGGGATTTGATTTGCTTTTTATAAATTATCAAATATTTAAGATGGGTATTACGCTAGCTCTTAACTATGGAATTGCATACATTTTGGGGCTCAGTTTGCATTTTGACCCGAATGCACTAAAATTGGACTCAGCTTCGCGGTTCTTTTGAGTCCTTTTCTTTTCTCCACTTCCACTTTCGTGTCCTGCGTCCTGTTTCCCCTCTTTTGCATGTGTCATTTGAGCGCTTAACAACTCTTTACCGTTTTCTTGTGTGCGTGTCTGTGTGTGTGTATGTGTGTTACCACCCGAAAATGTTGCCCCAATCGACTTAATTGATTTGTGGGCATAACCAACACATATTTACATACAGTTTGTAGCCGTATGTGTGCCTTCTCATGTTGATTTACTGCTTACATATGTGAGTATATGTGCTTTTGCCTTATCTGTGTGTGTGTGTATTGTGGTCTTGCAGCTCGAATTCTCAATCAGCTATTAGCGTTTACCCTGGAATACCTGGAATACCCTGGAATTTGATGGACATAATGGAAAAATTTAGAGAGTGAATTATTCCCAAATTTTGCTTTTTGATTTTGATTTTTACATCAAACTGTATTTTAAAGATCCTTAATTTTTGAAAAACATATATTTATATTTATAGATAAATAGCAAACTATTGTATTTAAACTTTGAAATATTTAACGGATTTCGATTTTAGATTATATATTTTTATATCGAACAATATTTCCAAGATCCTTAATTTTTTAAAAAAATATATATATCTTTTCTTAAACCTTAAGATATTAAAGGAGTCTTTTCACCCTATTTAATAAAGTTCTTGTAGAGAGTACCCTTTGCTTCGACTCATTTTCGTAACTTGAAAGGTTCCTTGTGTTATTTTTCTAAGATTTCCATCAGCATACACAGAGTTTGCCCGTCCCCATTTCTTTTTTTGGTGTGGCTTATTTGGTCATTTGGTTGGCTTTTAATTACCGTTACTGCTGATCGGTTTATTTGAGCAACCGCACACTCAACCCCATATGAATGTCCTCTTTTTCGAACCGGAAACACTCCTAAACCTAAAATACGAAAATACTTGAACCTCTGTGAGCTGAGCGACAGACTGATTTCGGTTGACCGATATGGCAATTGGTCAGTTTGTTGGCATTTTATTATATTATGTCCCTTATATTGATGGGCTAATTTAATTAAGTCGCTTTTGTAAGGACCTCTCACACCCGCTTCCTGTATCTGTTCGTCTGTCTGTCTTGTTCGATTCGATTTAACTTCAATCAAGCGTTAACAATTTTAATTAAATTATTTCCAAATGTAATTATAAATGTGCGTCATGCATAAATTGTGTTATTAATTTATTTACCCACCCACTGACAACAGCAGCAGCAACAACAATTGCAATTACACTGCGAGAGAAGAGGGGTCGAGTGAGGGTCCTTGCTGCAGGATATCTGCAGATGGATGGGATGGTATGGAATGGATGATGTGGTGGTGCATGGATGGAGTCGCCACCAGACGCTGGCCGAGGCCAACTTTTTGAATAAATAATCACAACGTAGGCAAAAAATAAATTTCATAAATTGGCATCAGCGCATCGGCGGCGAAAAAAAAAACCAGAGAAGGCATGTTTAAAAAAGTGGAAAATTGGAAATTCAGAAGCACTTTTCTGTTGTCGTCAATCTCTGACATGTTTTTAAACGTTGCATTAATCCCCTATCCGTTCGTCTGTCCTGCTGCTTCCGCATCCTTATTTTCCCTGGTTTGTTGTTCAATTTTTCAATTATTTCCGGGAAAAACGCTGTAAATCGTTATCTCTTATTCTTCGATCTTCTGATTTTTTTAAGGGAGTATATTTAGCTATAGGCCTTGAAATGTCCAAGCTACGACTAAAAAATCCATAAAAAATATGAATATTTTTGTCGAAAATCCGAATCCATATTTTTCATCCTAAAATATCAGTTTCTTGGTCGTTACAATGGAAATAATGATCCAAATATGGATTGTCATACCTCGTTGAGCTCGTAATTAAATTCCCAATCAATTGGCATTTAAACCTGAAAATTTTTAAATTTTGTGATGTAACCCCTTATCAAAAATGCGAAAATTGGTCAAAAAATAGATTTCCCAGAAAGTGATAGGGATCGTTAGTTTAGGTCGTTAGCTGTTCAAAACAGTCGGTCTTTTCGCTGTAGGCCTTAAATTGTCCAAGCTACGACCAAAAAAACATAAAAAAAGGACTATTTTTGTGAGAAATAAAGGATTCACTAATGAGAATAATAAATCGAAATATTATATTATATTTTCCTTTTTGTTATCTTCCCACTGTATGTTTCAACCGCACAGTGGAAATGTGTCACTTGCAGTCGCCATGCAATTCAATTCAATTAATGAAACGTTGTTAAAGAAGCGCAGGGAAATCCTGAAAACCCCCTCCCCTTTCCTCCCCACCCCTTCGTTCGTTTGCCGTTGTGTCACCTTTGCCCTCTCTTTTGTGTGGGTTACACTTTGTGCTGATCTTTGCAGTAAGTTGGCAAATTGCCTGACAACCGGAAAACCAAATCGAAGCAGCAGCATCTCGCACACCCGCACACACACACGCACACTCACCTGTCAACTGGCTTACGCACACACACACACATGCAGCTTTGTCCATGTTGACAAGCAACTTCTGTTCCGCTCGCCATCTTGCATCTCGCTCTCTGCTGCAGCTTATCCCAGTTGGATTTTATTGTTTGCATACACTCTACTCACTTACACACACCCACACATTCTGCCGCCCACCATAAACCTACCACCCCCCACCCCCTTGGCCCACGCTTTTTATCCTCCGAGTCAAAAGGGACAAACCTTTTATGACAATTAAAACATAATTGACGGTCAACATTAATAAACCAAACGCACACCGAAAAACAAGAGAGCAGGAAAAAAGACACAGCAGCAGCAGGCGAAGCAAAGAGCAGAAGGCAGGCAACAACAGGACAGCCAACGGACAGGATATGCAGGATATATATATGCACTGGGCAAAAAAGAAGTGTAGTTGTAAAGGTAGAAGAACTTTCGAGTTACCCTTAAAGTAGCACTACGGAAATAAAACAAGAGAGAACGCTATAGGCGAGCAGTAAGTGAACTGCTTGCACTGATTTCCTTCATTTATTTGCTCATAACTTTTTAGTGAATGCTCTGGTATTAATATTTTTTTACACTTGGATAGGTATTAATAAACACAACAAAATTGCATTTACACTTTTACAAAATCTTTAAAGAAGTGAGCGCCAGGATTTTTTAAGGTCCCTGAAGACGGTTGGGATTTTTTAGCTTTACTCGTTTGGATTTAGGCTTTTAAAAATGGTTTTTTATCTACAGAAAAATGTTTATGATTTTATTCTTTTCGAAAACCTTAAGAACAGAACAGTTTTCTTTCCTTTACCCTCGATTATTTGCCTATTTTCGATTTTTCCTAGTGCAGGCTTGAGGGGAAAGAGTCGGTGAGTGAACAATCTGCGTTTTTCTGTTGTGTGGTATATATTTACCCCGAACAACAACAGCAACATCGGCAAAAAGATTGCAATTGAACTTTGGGCAAAAGGGTGCGATGAAACCGAATAACGCACTAATCCCCAGCCAGAAACCCAAAGAGTATATCTATATATCCTGCCCACCTGCCACGCCCCCTCTATTCGTCCGCCTCCCCCTATTCTCATACAAATCAACAGCCATTTTGTGTTAGTTAAAAATTCTTTTTGTGTGTTAAACAACAACCCGAAAACACGGGAAAAAGGAAGGCAGCCGAAAGAAGCCAAAGCACCAAAAACACAGAAAAAAGCGCGCCAAAAACTAAATTTGAAAGCATTGCCAAAGGGGGAAAGAGTGTGGAATGTTTACAGTTGTCAACAAAATAATAGTTGCAGTTCCATTTTGCTGGGTTTAAAGTAGAGCTTGAAAAATATCGAGAGTTTGCTATTGAACGATAATTAATTTGTGTTTCCCTTAAAAAATCGATATTATCGAATCGATAATGTCAAAATATCGAAAATATCGATAATTTTGCAAGCTCTAGTTTTAAGCTTTACAAAATACTTGCAGTTAGTAGTTAAATAAAATTTTTTATGAGTTTATGTTTTAAATATATGTACTTTTAATGATTCTTTCTTTTTTTATACATAGTGACTTTCTTTCTTCTAAATAACAAATTTTCTTTTGTAACTTACCACTATGTTTTTACCCCTCTCTGTGAGTTGTATATGTGTGGGTGTAGTACTATCCTCTTT